TATATATATATATATATATATATATAACTATATATATACGAAGAAACCAATAAATGTGTGTGTATAGATAATTGAGCTTAGAGTACTTAACACACATAATATAAATTCTAAACTAAATTACCCAAGCTAGATCTTGATCTTCATTAAGCTCGACTTGGTACACATGCGGGTGAAGCTTGAACTTGTATATATATATATATATATATATATAACTATATATATACGAAGAAACCAATAAATGTGTGTGTATAGATAATTGAGCTTAGAGTACTTAACACACATAATATAAATTCTAAACTAAATTACCCAAGCTAGATCTTGATCTTCATTAAGCTCGACTTGGTACACATGCGGGTGAAGCTTGAACTTGATCTTTAACTTGAATTGCAAGGCTTCACCGACATTCCGCCAACCTCCTTTGGATATGATCGTTGAAGCTCTATTCCATCCATCCTCCAACTACGTTGTTTGTCTACAATACATAGGAATGCACAGACACTAGACAAACAATATTAGTAGTAAATTGTTTGTTAAACATCATCAAAACAAGAAGGCCAACAATTGCTACAAGATTAAGAGCATGTGCTCGATATCTCAGTTTCTGCCCTTGCGTGTTATGTTAAGACATTTTCTCAGTTTGTGATCAGCTGCTTACGGTTTTCAAGTTCTGTTTCCGCATATAACATGTGCCTTATCTTCAGTGAACTTGTGACTTGGCATATTCTTTTATGCTTCTCTTTTCCTTCCTTTTCCCAGTGAACTTGTAATGTGATGTCGAATATTAGTTACTTGCAGCACTTAACCTTTTCTTGATTGTGCGGTCACTTTTATCACACGCACCATATATATGGTTGATTAGCTTCCTTTTCTATGGACAATATTCTAAGTCATCTGAGATAATGTTTAATTGGTATTCATCTTGTGTATTGTGTATAAATTCAATACATAATTATGAAAACATTATGAATTTTGACTCTTGTAGTTTCTTAATATGCAACACGTGCAACGCACGTATAGCATACTAGTAGGACATTAAATATGGATTTAACCGAAGAACTATATAAACAATCGTTTTATTCACGACAAGCATGGGATTTCATTTCATCAACAAAAAAGCGTACAATTAGTCAGATACTATATTTTAATTCTACAACAACGAGAGATTTTACTTTCAGAACAACTTAAACCACTGTTCTCTGGAGGACAACAAGAGAGATTAATGATCACCTACATTTTCTTTTTCTTTTTCTTTGACTAAACGCAACACAAAGAAGCCACTAGCTTCCACCATTTGAAGATCAAAGGCCTTGAACGTACTCCATACAATTGATTCCCTTCTCTGCATACATTGACTTATGGCTTTTCACACTGATTTGCTTCTTATCAAATGTGAGGAACATGAAATATCCGTAAATAACTGGGGACTCCCTAGAATTAACAGATTGATGCTAAGATGATCTCAAAAACTGATGGTTCAAATCATCAACAACCAATTCTGAGAAACAAACTGACATTGAAGATAACAGCACTGTCCAAACCCCCATAAGCATATTCTTCAACATCTTCATGCTTTTGATCTTCAACTCTCATGTTATCCAACAACAGCAATCATGTCCAAGCACTGCTGATCACTCGCATACATACATCACAGAGTTTTATTCTGCATTTTCAACAAATAAAGCACATGAAGCCACACTGGAAGTGGCAATCTTTTCATTATCAAGACCCCAATATAATATTAAAATCAACCGGAGTTCTCAGCTGGTTCGATCTGTATCCAACAAGCAATGCTTCCCATAGTGTAGCATCAGGGAAAATAGATCGATCAAGCATCTCATTCAGCACCCGCAATGCTTCAGAAAGACGATCTTTTCTGCACAAATTGCAAGCGACCAACTTAAAAGTAGACGCCTGAGGAGCAAAATTTTTACCCAACATTTCCATCAACAATTCATATGCTTCCACGATCTCACATTTTCTAATCAACCCATCGATTATACTCTCATAAGTTTGGGCGTTCCAAGAGAACCCCTTCTGAAGCATTTCATTCATCACTGCCCTTGCTTTCTCTATCTTACCAGCTTTAGCATATCCAGACACTAGTACATTAAAGGTTGTGGCTTCAGGCTTGCATCCTGCTTTCTCCATACAACCAACCATCCTACAAGCTCTATCGAAATATCCTCGCGTACAAAGACTAGCTATGTAGGTATCATAAGTTGAAACGTTAGGAACAAGACCCATGAGAAGAATTTCATCAAACAGCTCTTCAACCTTGAGAAAATCATTTGCTAAAACAAATCCATTGAGAACACTGTTATAGCTCGTTATGTCTGGCCTCTTACCCGCTAACTTCATCTTGGTCAGAATTGAATATGCATGATCTCCTCTCCCTTCTCTAACAAGAACATCGATCACACTGTTAAAGTCTGATATATCAGGCACAAAACCAGCATTTTGCATTACTTCTAAAAAATCCATGACCTCGTTAATTTTTCCATGTTCACAAAGTGATTTAAGCACTTGAGAATACATTCTTGAATTTGGGGTGCGTTCATCAAGCTGCATCAAATTTAATAGCTCCACTGCAGAGCTAACCTTTCCATTCCTACAGAGAGCTCCAATTAGAATACGAAAAGTTGAGGGTTCAAGCCGGATCCTCATCTCTAGAGTGTTCATCAAAACATCTCGAACCAAAATGAGCCCTTCCTCTTTCTCACATAGAACAGAGAGCAAACGATTTAGTGAAAACACTGAAGGGGTGCATCGAAACTTTGGGATCCGGTAGAAAACATCAATGGCATCTTGAAGCAAACCGAGCTTTCCATAATGTTGAATTAGACTGACAAATATTCTTTCGGGAACTTCGAATCTCTCAACTTTTTCAAGATGGTCAAGAAGGACATGGAGATGAGAGAAGAAGCGCCGATGAGAGAGATATTTAATGATAAAGGAGTAAGCAGAGGGGGTCGGGTCAGTGCCACAGCTGCTGAATGAGTCGTTGAGAATGGAGAGATAATTGGTTGAGGGTTTATCTACTTCCGATACTTTCTTCTTAAGGTTTCTCAATGCTTGTTGCTCGTTGAAGGCTTTGAGCCACTTGTCTTCGCATGGATAGAGACGGCACCTCAACATTCTCGCACTGACAACGTCGAGCTTAGATGATAGCTAAGGCATTCCCGAGCACCATAACGGACCTGCATCGCAACACTTTTGAGCTGAAATAGTCTAAATAATGCAGGGGGGAAAGAGAGAGTTAACAATGACCGTTGTGCAAACCGTAAGTTCCATCGCAGTGGCATTCATTCAAACACCTTGCGAGCACAAACGCATGTGGTATCACAAGATGCAATTTCCTTAACTGCCTAAAGCTAAATACTAACTATAAAGAAAAGCATAGCGTATGCCGATTTTTTTATTTTTAAATTGACGAAAACAACACATACCCAAAAGTACATTGATCTTCCGCCTCCGCTTTCACTCTATTCCCATCGAGACTTCTGTTTGATTCATATTTTTGGCAAATACTCCTCCCGGGAGCCTCTTCTTTTGCGAGTCCGCCAAAGAACTACTATCACCCATTCCTGTCTGAAGCCCAAATTAGGCCCAAATTAACTCGAAAGCGATAGGGACGTTCAGCCCATGCTCATAGGTTTGAGAATACATCCCCGTTTTAATTTAGAACCATCTATTGCTCTACCCAATGTGCTTGACATTATTGATGAAATTTTTGGTATATTCAGATAGGCTTTTTTTTTTTCTTTTTATTTTTTGAGTGAAACTATGGTGGATAACTCGTGAGGTGGCCAAGCCAGAAATTTCAGGACGGAGGGTCCAATATTTTCTTTTGTAGATATTGACACTTCTACATATATGTAATCAATTTTCAACATATACATTATTCGATATTATATTAAATAATCTTTTGTTTGTAGAGATTGGAGAGAACACATGCAAATATTTAAAAATTTATTCAAATAAGAAATATTATTCCATATACTAGATCTCTAGTCTGCTCTTTTTTCTCCCCTGTTGAAATCAATATGCTCTTTTTAATTTATGTAATACTGATGCATGAAAATGCACGTAAATGAAAATCATCGTATAGAATTTATTATTTGGGATGCACTGGTGTTATAGCCGTTTTAGGGATGAAAAATAATTTCCAATCAATGACAGATAAGTGTTCCACGTTATGCATAATCAAGTTAGTGTTTCAAGATAATCAGAGGCCCAATTCGGTCGACTCAACATGCCGGCGTCTTACGAGGACGACTCGATAGGCGTTACTGTTGGAAAATGAGATGAATAGTATAGGGTATATAATGGCTCTCTCCTTATTGGGTTTTGAATAGTGTTTTGGGTTTTGTGGGCTTTGCATATCCATCCCACACACGCGCGTGCACGCGCGCCACGCCGCACCGCACACGCACACTTTTTTGCTTCTCAAGCTTTTATTTTTGCACGTTTTACATGTTCTGTAACGGCTGCATGTGGGTAACGGAAGCAAGACATGTGCGTAACGGTCCATTGGATTCAGCGGGGGTTACACTTTTCCTCACCTATATAAGCAGGTTTGGAGCTCATTCAGAAACATACCAACGAAGAGAAGAACTTCTAAGCTCTCTTCTTTCTCTACTCTTATTTCTCCAAGAAATTTCGGCTACATATTTATATTCATTTTGGGCAACCGTTTTCGTCTGAGCATAAGCTCTGTGACTCACGCCCGAGTGCAGAGGCTGGCCGATTTTGGGGGTTTTTACCGCTAGGGGAGAGGGGACAAATTGCGCCAGGGCGATAGACGGGTCCTTAATCTTCTAGGACAGTGACATCACGACTGCTCCCGATCAGGCCTGAATTTTCTAACTCTTTAATTTATTTTTTATATTATTATATTCCTATTTTGACAGCAATCTAGAAGATTAAGTAAAATTTCTTGCTGTTAATTTAAACTAAAAAAAGTAAAAAAAATATTACTGTTCATCGGGATTACTGTTCACCCGAATCTTTATATCTTATAATTACTTGTTGTATTAGTTAATTGTTTTAATTTGTTGCATCTAAATTAGTTAAATTCAGTATCTGTCATAAACAAAAAATCTTTAAGTGAACCGGTTCAAGTTTTCTTGGATTAGTTGGTGTCTAAGGAAAGGTTTAAGGGTTGCGTAAAGCGCTCTGCAAGAAACGAGGTACTTAATCGATCATTGATCAACCTCTAGTACTATCCTTACCTGGCCAAACTACCCGAGTAAAACTTTAATCTTTTCACTTTTAGAGTTTTTGGTTAAGAGCAGGTTTAATTAAGTTTCTGGTCTAGTAATATTGACAAAATCCTTTATTTGATCAGATTACATCTACCTAGACTAGTAAACTCAAATTGGACTTATGTTAATTCCTGATCATTCAAAAAGTGTCAAACCTGAGAAGTTTACCGGTCTCAAGTATAAACGGTGGGCTAATCAGATGAAATACTGGCTCACTACCTTAGGTCTTTTATCTGCTATTGACACTTCTGAGTCATCTACTAGTGGTTCCCAACCTTTGACTCCTGATCCTGCTCAACCTGCTCCTTCTACTTCTGATTCTGGTGCTAGCTCCTTTTCTAGCTCTATGAAACCAGAAGAAATCAACTATCATTGTTGTCATAGGATTCTTAGTGCACTTGCGGACAACCTTTATGACATATATTATGAGTTCAAAAGTGCAAAAGAACTATGGAATGCTCTTGAAGCAGAATATGGCTATGATGATGCCGGAATTCTGCGTTTCACCTCCTCCTCTTTCAATAAGTTCACAATGGTTGATGACAAGCCCATTAATGAACAAATTCATGAATTCCTAGATTTCCTCCGTCATCTCCAATCAAAAGGAAACACTTTTACTGACGATTATAAAGTTTCCTGTTTGATTGATAAACTTCCTCCCTCCTGGTCTAGATTTGATGGAGATCTCCGACACAAGCAAGGAGATCTAACCTTAACTGAAGCCCTCAAGGCTATTCGTATTGAAGACCAGCATAGGCAAAATTCCAACACCAAGAATGAAACAAAAGCTAAAAAAGTAAATTTGGTAAAGGATAAGCCTAAATCTAAGAATTTCAAACCCAAAGGGAAGAAATTCAAGAAAAATCAACAATCTTTCAACAAATCTTTCAACAAATCCTCCTTCAAATCAAATCCCAATTCTTCCAGCCATAAGTCTGATGAGAAGTTCTGCTTTGTCTGTGGTAGAATCAACCACATGGCTCACAACCGTTTCTTTCAGAAGAAGGAACCGGCCAAACCTGCCCCTAAAGGAAATGGATCCAACAAAGTTAATATGATTGAAATGAATCCAACCTCCTTCAGGTTAGCCTCTTCATCTCATCTTGTAAATTCTCTAACTTCTTCCACTGATTGGTATTTGGATTCTGGAGCAAATATCCACGTCTGTAATGACCGCTCTTAGTTTTCAAATTATCAGGAATCACGTGGAGGAAGCATAAGCTTAGCAGATGACTCCACTAGATCAATAATAGGACGTGGACGTATAGAGCTCACCACGACTTTTGGGAAAGCTCTTCATCTGCAAGGCGTTTATCATGTTCCTTCTCTCCGTCGTAATCTGATTAGTGAATCTCTTCTTCTTAGAGCTGGTTATAGGATTGTAAAAGAATCCAACAAATTTATGATTACAAAGAGTAATGTTTTCATAGGAAAATGTTTTATCTGTAATGGCCTTTTCAAACTCAATATAATCAATTCCAGTTCTAATAAAATTTCTGAGTCTTCTGTTATCTTGTGATGTTTGGCATGGACGACTTGGACATATCAATTTTCAAACCTTGCAGAGAATGAGTAAATTAAACCTCATTCCTAAATCTTCTCATGATCCCTCATCTAAATGTGAAATCTGTGTTCAAGGGAAACACACTAAAAAACCCTTCAAGTCTATAACTAGAAACTCTGAACCCCTCGAATTAATTCATAGTGATGTGTGTGACTCTAACCGAGTTCTCACCCGAGGGGGTAGGAGATATTTTGTGACTTTTATAGACGATCACTCCAGATATTGTTACACCTATCTTCTCAAAACTAAAGATGAAGTCTTAGATAGGTTTAAGGTGTTCAAAGCTGAATCTGAGAACCAACTTGACAGGAAGATCAAGATTCTAAGATCTGATCGTGAGGGGGAGTATACCTCAAATCATATAACTGAATATTGTCAAGAACACGGTATTATTCATGAGGTTACTGCTCCCTATACACCACAGTCTAACGGGGTAGCTGAACGAAAGAATAGAACCCTAATGGACATGGTGAACTGTATGTTACTCAGTTCAGGAGCACCTGAAAATCTCTGGGGTGAAGCTCTTCTTTCTGCTTGCTTCATTCTCAATAGGATTCCCCAGAAATATTCCGATACAACTCCTTATGAATATTGGAAGGGGAGATCTCCTAATCTAAATTTCTTCCGGGTTTGGGGTTGCTTGGCTAAAGTAGCTATTCCCGAACCTAAGAAGAGAAAAATTGGTTCTAAGACTGTAGATGCTGCTTTTATTGGATATGCACTTGATAGCAATGTTAACAGATTTTTAGTCATCAAATCTGAAATCAGTGACATATCCAACAATACCATCATTGAAGCAAGAGATGCAGTCTACTTTGAAAACATCTTTCCTTTCAAATCTAAAATCTCAGAAAATCCCAGATCATCCATTCCTTCTGATCTTCCATCTTCCAGTTCTTTTCAACCTCTTGATATTGAACCTCGAAGAAGCAAAAGAGGTAGAATCGAAAAGAATTTTGGAGAAGACTTCCTTACCTTTCTTGTTGAAGGTGATCCAAGCTCATTCCAAGAAGCAATGGATTCACCTGAATCTCCTTTCTGGAAAGAAGCCATTGATAATGAAATTAAATCTATCATGGAAAACCATACTTGGATACTCACCGACTTACCTCCAGGTTGTAAACCTATTGGTTGTAAGTGGATATTCAAGAAGAAACTCAGAGCTGATGGTTCCATAGATAAATTTAAAGCTAGATTAGTAGCTAAAGGCTTTACTCAACAAAAGGGCATTGATTATTTTGATACATATTCTCCTGTAGCCCAAATCTTAACTATCCGAGTATTATTAGCCTTTGCTGCTATCCATAAGCTTATCATACATCAGATGGATGTCAAGACTGCTTTCCTGAATGGTGATTTAGATGAAGAAATCTATATGCACCAACCTGAAGGCCTCATTGCCAAGGGTCAGGAAAACAAAGTCTGTAAGCTTGTTAAATCTTTGTATGGTCTTAAACAAGCTCCTAAACAATGGCACCAGAAATTTGACAACGTCATTGCACAATATGGCTTTCCTGTGAATGAACACGATAAATGTGTCTAATTCTAAAGTGATAAACAATGACTATGTCATTCTCTGTCTCTATGTTGATGATATCCTTATCTTTGGAACAACACTTGAATTAATTTCAAAGGTTAAGGATTATCTTTCCAAAAACTTTGATATGAAAGACTTAGGTCTTGTAGACATGATACTTGGAATGAAAATCTCTAAGACACTAGAGGAATATATATCTTTGAGTCTTTCCCATAGCATTGATAAAATGCTAATTAAATTCAACTTTCATAACTCTAAACCTATTTCCACACCTTATGATTCTTCTATATCCTTGAAGAAGAATGAAGGTGAACCTGTTTCCCAGCTGAAATATTCTCAGATGATTGGATCTCTTCTTTACATATCCAACCGAACCAGACCGGATATAGCTTATGCTGTAGGGAGACTGAGTCGGTATACTAGCAACC